GAAATCATGTAACTGAAATAATTCCACCTCCAAAACACAAGTATAATATTTTAATTGGCCTGTCCAGTCACATCACAAGGGCAGAATACAATTTACTAATTCACATGATCTCAGTTACCATCTCAGAGGACCATCCTCACCCTGCTGCCCAACAAACAACAAAAATAGGTAAGACAACATAAAGGAGGAGAGACCAACATCTTTGAGTATTATCCCTTCCCTCTTCTTCTTGTCTCTAGATATGGTTAAATTAACTTGTAAATAATGGCATATAGCCAATCTTCATAACACCATATAGACAGCATATATGCTACCTATTATATCACTGAGAAAATTCTACCCTAAATCAGGTTAGACCCTTAATTGTACTCTAGGAAGCAGATGGAGGCAGAAAATTCATTACTGTTTTTAAACACCTATAGACTAGAATTCATGGCCAAAAAGCTGGCAACTTGAGTCTTAGCCTGAATCATTTGTATTAAGGAAAAAATATAAAAGATGTTCCTTCAGTGCTTGTTAGCTAACTGACTTGGCATGACTTAAGTCCTAAGAGTTTAATATTACTTCATTTCTAAACCCAAAGCTTAAGTGACTCCATGAAATTGTGAGGACAGAGCAAAGAACCTGAGTGACTGGCCTTCATGATCACAGAATGTTTCCAAAGCAACTGAGACTGTTAATTACTCTCATTTCAATGTGCCATAATATCCAAGAAAAGAGAACAGTCACTAATACTTGGGTTAATGGGTGCTACGTTCTCAAATTTTTAACATCTGTAAGAAAATCAGTCGTTCAAATATAGCCCTTAATTTAGAAATTTCTATTGTTCTTGGTTAATATGAACAATCATGTAGCCTCTGAATTCTGCAAGATCTATAAGTAGCTAGATATGGGAAGGACCCAATTAAAGAGTCTTATTAAAACCAGCTTGAAAAAACCTCCACTTGCCTCACTCCATTTCAGCCAACATGTATAAAGAATCTATCCTTCAGACTATGCTGGGTACATTAGAAAATACAAGAAAACACAATGGACTCTGCTTGACCTTGAGAAACAACACTGCCAGGGGTTGGGGGGTGGGGGAAGACAGTGAAAGAAAGAGGTACTCTGAAGAGTTCCTGGCTCTACTACTGAATGGTCACAGGAATGCAAGCCCTGGCTTTCCCCGGTGGTAAAATGGGCTTAATATTATACCAGCTGTCCTACAGCAATTACAAAATACCACGATGAAAGAGAAAATACTTTGAAACTTAAAAAAAATCATTGTAAGATTTATGTAAGAAAAATAAATCATATTCATGAGGCAACTAGAAAATACAAGAAAACACAGAAATATACTACATATCATAATTTAATGTAGAATTTCTCAAAGTTAATTCAACACAACAGTAATTCTGTGAGATGTTTATAGGTGTATTTCAGAAAAATAATCCTATAGCCAAGTTAAGCATAGGGAACATAAAGGCTTAATGACTTTTCTGTTATTAGTACTACCATTACCAGTACTACCATTACCAGCAGCTAACATTTAGTGTCAAGTCACAGTGGTAAGCTTCTTCTGTGGTACATCTCATTTAAACTCACAGCAACTTTGTAAGACAGATATCCCCATCTTACACATAGGGAAATTGAGGCAGAAGACATGATATAACTTTCCCAAGGTTACACAGCTAGTTAGTGGCAGATGCAGGATTCAAACTCAGAACCCCTACACGTAATCACAACACATACTGCTCTCTACTTTCTCAAAGTTTTTGAGATTCATTGTGAATCTTTCAGAGGGGAATAGAACATGTGTCTTTCCTGAATTGATTTTTTGGAACAACTTGTAGTACTTTGGTAAATGGAGCAATAATGAAGGTGCATTCATTTCCTTTTCCTAAATTATTCTTCCTCCTAGGCTTGGGCTATATTTTAGTGAAAGGTGTTTCCTTTATGGTCCATTTCATCCAACTCAGTAGTCCAAGAAATACCAACTTAATATTACCTGCCTGGATCACTATCAGAGAAGGGCAGGGACTAGACACAGAATTTCATGTTGCATAACTGGAGAGAACATCAAGATGTAAGGGATGAAAGTGTCACCAACTATTAAGTAATATATATTGCAGTTTGTCCCTTGCAAGTCACAGTAGCCCATAAAGTGGAGCAAATAAGACTGGAATGTTAAACGTTTGCTTTGTATTTATTAGCTTTATTATACTTCATAAGAAAAAAATTAAATAGGCCCATTAAGCAGTTTTGTTACCAACGAGTGGATTTTCCAATATTTTCTTCATCTAGTTTATGTAGCATAGCCTGTAATGTAATCATTTTGTTTGAAAAAAAATCACAATTTTTATAGTCAAAACCATTAAGGTAAACTTATTGTAGGAGAAAGTCAATCATAACACATAAAACATTTGGTTTTATAGAGACTTTAGTAAAGTGGATTTTCATTTCTTGATGATTATATCATTTCTTTGTGCTGAATTAAAAGCCAGGACATAAGAACAGCATACACTGAAGCCCAGGAAGAAGTGAAGGCCAATGATCAATGACAAGCAGTTATGCAATTTGGTCTCTTCATGTCCTTTTCCTTAAGAATCACCTAGGCAAGAGGTAACTGAAATGTCTTCTTTTTATAAGAAATCAACTATACAAAATAAAGTACTAAAATGATCATATTTTAGTACTCACCCTCCATTAACAACCACTGCCAAAAACATTAAGTCTTACAACATGCATATGGAGCCTAAGAAACGGGAGCTAAATGAATTCTTAGAATAAGTTGCTAATGTCACTGTAGCATGCCAGCAAATTAAAGGGCTAAGGACATGTGGGAGGATGTTCCCTTGGATATTGTGGCCCTAATAAAAGGAAAAGTTCTAGCCATGCTTCTTGCTAAAAACATTAACCCGGCAAATGGGAAGTTATTATTTAATGGGTACAGGATATCATATTTGCAAGATGAAAAGAGTTCTGCAGATGGGTGGTGTTGGGAGTTGCACAATAATGTTAATGTATTTAATACCACTGAACTTAAAAATGATTTAGATGGTAAATTTTATGTTATATTTATTTTTATCACAATTAAAAATAATATTTTAAAAATATTAATGTGATTTTGCTATAATTTTTATTTGCTAGGTGGGTATGCTACTTCCATCCCTCTCCCTTTTAAGATATAAGCCTGTGTTTTAAGGTGAAAAATTAGAATTTTAACATTAAAATATTATTTCAAGTAAAAATTATCTGCTGGGGTTTGGTGGCTTTATGTTTTCTCCCTTCTGGAACAAACCAGGATAGTAAATTCATAATCGGCCTTTGATTAAAAAATACAAACATGCTTGACAGTTAAATATTTGATGCAACAGCACAAATAAGAAATGTTTTTGGATTCCATTTGAAGCCAATAAAAGGAATCCAAAGAGTTGCTAGAAATCTTTCCTGTATTATTATATCTGGCTATCAGCATGAAAGCAGGAAGAAGGAAGGTTGAAGCTTTGAAAACTTCTCCCTTAAGGGAAATCAGGAGAAGAAAATCGGAGTATACATGTTCCTTCTTTCCTTTCTAAGAATACCTGAGCCCATGAACCTTCAGAAAAGAGTGAAAATCCAAGTCAGATAAAAGTAAGGAGGAGAGGACTAAAATGAAGAGATGCTAGTTGTGCAGAGCTAGGGACTGCATGGGAAGGAATGCTAGTATGATCCAAGAAAGGCCAACAGTAGCCTCAAACTCACTAGACACAGTCATCAAACATTTGAAAGCAAGACAACAAGTGCTGCATAAGAAATATGCCCTTACTTTATCTTCTGAATTATCATAATGCAAGTACTTAACATTTAGACCAACTATTCACAGTATCCAGTCATCTGTAGGGGGAAATCATCCAGATAATGTAAACACAAGTTCTGAAAGGGCTGTATTCAAGAGAAAGGACTCACATCCTGGCTCTACCTGCAGGGCGGACTAAAGCCCTGGGTGGGGACTGAAGCAGATGACTTTGAAGGAGCTTCTAACCCTGAGGAATCTAATTCTATGCCAAGACTGCATCTATATGTGGGGGTTGTTCTGGGGTTTTAGGATGCGACCCTTCATGGTCATAGGGCAATTTTTACATGTATTCATGTGGTTAGTTAAAATTCTAGGGACATTAGTAACCAATTAGAAAATAAATTATTTTACAACTTTGAAAATATATATTAACATCAATGTTAAAATACTGAAGGTAAAAACACAATCGTAATGTGATGCAGGGTTAGCTCTCTGGAGGAAAGCTTTATTTCTCCCTCAGGGCTTTCTTAGAGAGTATGGATTTTTTAATTCCTGGTGGAATATTTTTCATACACCACTGCAGACTATTAAGTACCAGATATTACATTATGTAGTTTAAACTTTGCACTACATGAGAAAGACTTCCCTATCGAGAGAACTACATTTTATGGCTAGCATTTTTTAATATGAAAATGAACACTCCTTTAGGACAAGATCACTGCAACCTGAATTTGGGAGAATTTTATAACTTAACATATTCATCAATGTGTAGAAATTCTCTCAGGGAAACGGGGTGGGGAGAGAAGGAAATACAACAGGAAGAAGTCTTGTTAATAACTTACAGTGTCAACACAGGGCAAAGCAGTGGTATTTATAAGGTTTGTCCTCCACTGGGCATAGCTATGAACAGGCAGGGGACTAGCATAGGGTGCTAGCAAGTTTTAAAAAATCATGTTAAAGAGAGAAGGAAAAAATGTATTACACTTCAGGCCAATTAAAGGCACACTTGCTAATGGTGGACTATTAACGGATCACCCAGGAGAAATGCAGACTCAGAAATATTAAAAAGGCTATATAAATGCACTTTTCCAAGCAATTCCTGAGAAAAATAGATGCCTTGCAGAATTTTGGAGTTAAATTTGGAAATAAGATCTAAGCGCTGGTGGTCTTTTAAAAATCTGTGCCAAGAACTTGGATACCCACACGTGGAGAGTGGAAAGTTTAAACAAAATTGACTACTCACTTGTAGACTGTGCCTCCGTTGCCATGACCAAGGGTGTCTCGATATCGTATGTCTTGTTCATTCATCTCCACAAGAAAGAGAGAAAAACAAAAAGGGTGTCATGCTGTGGATGGAAATGTCAAGGAAAAGCAACTCTGGGCCATAAACAACAAGCAGTCTGGGTCATTTCAAGTTCAGCTGCAAGAACGAGAAGATCAATACAACATTTGCTGTCCAATTTATAAAAGACGATACCAAGGGACAAAGTGATGGAAAGTTTAATGACAATTTGTTTGCCTGGGTCATTTCATTAAAGTTTGATAAAAGGTGTCAAAATGGGATGATATAACATAGCTCAAAAGGGTCAGGTCAGAGATACTGATAAGAACACAGTCTCCAGTACTACATATAAGCAATGCCAACAGCACTGCACATAACCAAAGTCAAACTTGGGAAGACAACACACACACACAGTAATCTAATTCACGATCTGTAAATAAATCAGCTCCTGAAAACTCCTCAGATGACCCTATAATTAACATTAAACAAACTGAGTAATGTTAATGATTTTTCCTGGAGTAGATATAGCTTTTCTTTGGAAATGATAAATTAGTATACAGCAATAACTGGGTAGAAGTCATATTAGATGATAGACAAGTGCCAAATCAATGCACTTTCAAATGCACATATAGGCAAATATTATAATGCATATAAGAAAGCCATATAAGCATGTGATTCTTATAAAATCATTTCCATAATTTAATATATAAAGCAGCATACACATTTTCCCAGGTTCTGTAAAACTGGTATGCCACAAATACTACTTTCATTTGTATCACAAATAATAGTAAATTATTTTAGCACCCACAAAATAACTCCCTAATAATTATTTATCAAATTACTTTAAGAGTACTCAGATTATATTTGATCCATTTAGTAATTTTCTACACACTGGTCTGGTTGCTTAAAAATTAACTGCCAACTTTGTTCACTAAGTGGCTTCAATAAAGGTGTTATTTTCCATATAGCTAAAGCTTGGGAAAAGCCATACTAAGCCCTGAAAAAAAATCAATTTCCAGGGAATTGAACTGCCTTGCATGGGCAGAAAATGGATGGAGTTTTTAATTCAATACCACCTGGAAAAAAATAGTTTGCTTTCAGACTATTATACTAAAGCTTTAACTATTTTGCTGTACTCTAAACTTCCACCAATTGAATAAAGCAAGGTTTCATTTATCAAGGGAAATATTTTTCTTCTATACATTTCTGAAACTGAAGCTTCAGAGAGCTGTAATAATTAGGAGTACAGTGCAGGTAACAGAAACAGTTCCTTTTCAAGCCACTTTGCCAACCCCTAAAAGAATATTAACAGATTAATGTATGAAGGCCAATTCTGCACCCGATTTAATTGTAGTACAACCTGATTGATGCAATTTGCAATTAGCTAATTACTAATTAGGGTTAGTGGAGATATGACAGACAAGTTGGAAAAACTGACAACTATTTCCTCATTTTAGGGAAATTCTGTTCCTCACTAATTATATTACTAATACAGAAAAACAACAACCACCATATTTTAACCTGCGTGAAAGATGTGGCATGAAGAAAAAAGCCTCATTATTCTGGACCAAATGATAAATTTTAAGACAGCATTAAAAAAAAGGAGCACATAAAGTAACTTGAGATGCTACACTAGCAGCGCTGCTATTGGGTTTTCTTTGATGGATGGGTATAAAGGATACATATGTAAATGGCAGTACTATTGGTGTGTACAAATAGGCTAATTCCTTTAAAGTATTTCTCTATGTAGTTGAAACATGACTCTAACAACCTAATTTGTACCATTAGCTTCCCTAACAAGCTGCACCCTCATCATGGCTTGAAGTAAATTTCACTCAAGTTCACAAATTCTGAATTAGTGGCACTGAGATTTAAGAGTAAGTAGGCTGGGGCTATGGAGTATATGGGAGCCGGGCTCTGGTGAGGTGCATTCTGTGGTCATCTCCCCTTCGCCTCCATCACTCCATCAGGGCCTTTCTGGTAAAAGGACCAGGAGTTTCCTTTCAGAAAAATACCCAAACCAAGACATATTGATATTCCAATAAGATACTAGGATAGACCTAGGACTTTGGAAGGAGTTTGATTTTGTGGCATTTTGTTGGAGGAAGAGAAGGCAAAGGAGTAAGTATGGCATGTCGCTGAGCAGCTTCAACCATTATAATCCCAAATTCATAGTCTTTTTATGAATTAAGTTGAAAAGAGAAAGGGAGCAGCCACCCATCCAGCATTCCCAGCACTCCAGCCTAAGCAGGAGTGGTGGGCATCCAGAACAGTCAGAAGATAGAGAATATCATATGGTGTGTGTATGCGCGCGCGCTACGTAAGCAAATTCAAGGATAGGAGTCTGGAATCCCTCGGATAATGAGGTAGATTGTAAATGCCACATAAATGTAAAAATGGTTTTGAACAAGTTCTAGGAACAGTACCACGTAAAAAGACAGTATCCATAAAAAATGGGGAAAGTGTTTCTATGATGTTTTAAAGTTTTATAGACCGTTGCCTGACCTATGAACTCACTGATAGATTTTATATTTTAGATATAGATTCTTTTTCTATATTAGAAAATATTATATTGATAAGAACACAGTCTCTTATTAGATTCTTTTTCTTTTTGCTTATTTGAATTTTCTAATTTTGTATGGTATACAAATATTATGATGTAAAAAATGTTTCACAAAGGAAAACTATCAGAGCTGACCTCATAAATTGATTATAAAATTTTCAGAATTTCATAGCTCTGATCAAAATGTATTACTTTAATTGGCCTCAATTATGGAAAACCATTAAAGGGATCAACAAACAGTTAACACTTCTGCCCTTTTACTTTAAATAAGTCTACTAATCCAACTTTTCAAAATGAAGCACAGGAAGAGTGCTCATTATGATGCAAAAGTGGGGTTTAAAAGCCACAGAGTACATTTAAATAATACAGTAGTTAGGATCAGATCTCATAACCATAGAATTGTATAGCATTTTAAGCATTTAGCCCAATTCACATAGGTCATATGTGAATTCACATAACTAGTCAGCAACTAGTCAAGACTAGAACTGTCTTTCATGTGCTCCACTAGAGGCTCGATCTTAGCAGTTGGTCTGTGTAAGTATGGATGGACAGCCTCGCCATCCATGGTCACTGCCCAGAGGAAGGAAAATAATCAACTTGAGGCCACTCACAAGTTAAAAGCAATTTCATTAGTTATGGTATTTGTTTTTAAGAAGAAAACTTTAAAAAATTACATAGCATTTTACATAGAAGAGGTAAAGTAAAACTTTTATTCAACAAAGATACCAAAATAAAATTTAAATATAACTCAGTTTCCTTGTTTTGACTTAAAAAAAAAAGGCAAATAAAGGCACAATAATAGAAGTGAGGGTGGAGAAAGAAAAAGCCATGAGAGTTATGATTACTTGTCAGCTGCAGAAATGGCAAATGACCTGGAGAAATGACTGGCACTGGGCTCTGCTCCTGCTGATAGAGAGGCGGGTGCTGTGAAAGAAATGTAGGCACACACCCAGGGAAGAAAGGGTGTGGTGTATGGGTAGAGGAGGGTTTCATGTAGTCTGGACTTATATACACAGTCTCATTTATGTTTCAGTCTTCATATGGGATCTAAAATGAACTGTAAGAATCTAAGAGTTTTATATACTGCTGAAAATTAGAAATTAAAGCTAATTTTACAGTACAATACCTATTTTTCTTCCTCCTCCTTTTGTTTTTTTTTTAAACAAAAAAAGTTTTTCTAAAGGCATTTGAAGTTCTCAAAATACCAGCCAAACATGCAGCAGGATCAGAATTAGTTCTAGATCTGTGACTTCACAGTACATTTATGCTTGATTTATTGGGAATAACAAAATACTGTCACAAAATCTCCTACAAAATCTAAAAATTAAAAAGAGGAAAAACAACTTTAGAAATGCAAAGGTCAAAGTTACACATACTTGGAGTAACTGTGCACTTTTTGAATCCTTTAAATTGACCCACTGGGCCTTTTTTTTTTTTTCAGTTTCAAATCAAGAGCCAATGTTAAATAGAGGATAGCACACTAAAACTGAAGTGGGAAAAAACACGTCCAGAAAACACATATTTGGTACTGATTTATAGTTCTAAATAAAACATGCCAAAAATACCTTAAGGAATCCTCTACTTAAGCAATAACAGAAAAATGGTATCTCTATTTCAATGACTAAATGTTAAACTTTTTAAAAAGTGCTTGATTTAATATAAAATTAATGAAATTAATGGGAAAAATGAAATGGAATTCAATTATGAATCAGCAAAGAAAATATTCTTTGTTTATTGTCTGCGTTAAGAAGAATCAGTATCTATCGCTTATAAATCATTAAAATAAAAATGCTCAATTAATCCTTATTTTATATGTAAAGGTCTGACAGAAACTAGTCCTATCACTAGACCTTTGCTTCACAAATCGAAGCAATAATGGTTTCAGAAGCAGTCACACTCTATGAGCAGACAATTGGAGAGATTTAGTAAATCCCACTTTATAGAGCAGAGACTAATCGGAAAACACAAGCCAGTCAAATGTTTCTTATGAACTGTTGACACTATATCAATGCTGAATCAATTGGTGGCATTTACTCTGAGTGACAGAAAAGAAATAAATATTTATATCACATAACCTATATCAATGAACCCAGGCAGAAAGCTATTTCTAACCTGTCAATATTTGATTATCTTGAAGAATCATGTCCCTTTCTTTTAATGATTAATATGAATTCCTTATTAAATCTAAGTGGAGGCTAGTGGAAAGGCAAATCATTATTAATGCTTGAGAGCATAAACCACTAAAATAAAAAACTATGCTCAAGTGTTAAAGTATCGTTAAATGTGACTTACATCTTCCATATCAAGGGGTGTCAGTGTTCAGCCCAGAAATTTATTGACGCCCACAACTGTGCACATTACCTCGCTGCAATGCAATCTCACTCACTCTTTAGTTACCCTATAGCATCAAGGAATTGAGGAATTGGTAGAAGGAGGAGGAATTTTTGAAGACTTCCAATTGTGTTTGTTTTTGTGAATGAAAGTAAATATAAAGAAGGCTTATCCTTAAGAGAAAGAAAACACCATACTGTTTAATGTGGGGTTATAACATTCCCAAGGGAAAGCAATACAATCTTTTAAGTGTCAAAAATCACTGTCGTAACAATCTTCCACTGAAGGGAACCTCATAACCAAGACCACTAAGATATTTATGGCACTAGGTTTGTTGTCAAAACACAAGCAACATTTCTGGATGTTTATTTTTTGCAGTGGAAATAAACTGTTTTTCATTTCTGAAAGGGGAATCTATGACAGGTTATTTTCCATTGCCTGGGTTGAACAAATGTAGTTAAAGCTTCTTAATTTATGTCAATTTTGAAATATATTTTCCAGCTGAAGAACACAAGTGACTCATACATAAATTACAATTAGTAACAAGATGTTGAAGATACATAAACATCCTAGGGAAAAAAACCAAAAAAACCAAAATAAATATCCTAGGCTGTGCTTTTAGTCCAGTTTGTTTCATACTGACTCTGAACACACACAGGGCACCAGAAGGACACACATGTGAACCTCAATCTAAACCAATCTCTGACTGCTTAAAGTTAAAAATATTAGATAAATATGATCTAAAATTCATAACGATTACACCTACAACACCAGATTCGTCTTCGCTGTATATACAATGTGTACGAACTAGAACCCACACAAACCAGATCAGCTTACTTTTTCCAACTGTATTCAAGGGATTGTGCACTAAATAAGGAGGCTTGCAGGAGCACACCCATCTATTAGGCCATAAAGTTACAGGTGATATTAAAGGACAAGCATGAGGACCCAGCTTTGTCTTCTTGACATGCTCCACTACAAGTACTTGATTCATGAAATGCCAATGAGGCTTGGAGAGGTCAGTGTGTGAAGGCACTGAATAAGCATCTGAGATAATTAAGATTTCAGCCTTCGAAACATGGACGGGAAGTGAACAGCAGTTAAGAAAATCAATAAGAGTCTTTTATTTGCAGTGACACAGATGTCTCAGTCAATAGAGCCTAATAGGCAGGCTTAATCGCAATGGACAGGCGCCTGCCTCCAAGGCTATCAAAGGGCTTCCTCTATAACAAACATTAAAACACATTTATGTTGCTATTGAAGAATCGAGGACCCTGTAGGTAGCTTAATTTACCAATGTATGTTTAAAAGCACTATACTATTTCAGATGTGTCCATTTACTTGAATCAAAATTAGTGAGAAATAAGTGGCCTGCAGGCCCGTTTGTCCCTCACTGGGTGGGTTAGGTCATGCAGCTTTAAGATGGCCAGTCGACTAGGCAAACCAGAGCTCTTAAAGCCTCGGAATTTTAAATGCCAAAGATCTGCTGTTATTTTATTTCCCTGAAAAGCCAGTGTTAGTTTCAGGACAAAAGAAGTGTGCTATGGTGAGAAAGTAACAGTTTGGTTTATTTTTTCTCCCCAAAGATAATGAAAGAAACAGTCACCTCAGGATACAGGGCCATTTCGACAACCCATGGGTTGACACACTTGTTCAGAACTGATTAACTTTTTTTAAACTGAGAAGGCAGCAGGGTGTGTGCATGGTACTTCAATCTGCCGGGAGTGAAACCCATTAGCACAGTTTGAAAAACGTGCTGCAAATTGTTCTGCCAATCAAATTAAGCCATGTAATTCATTTATGATAAGAAGACATTCACGGATTCTTTATCTGTTTGTTAAGTTTATGGATTCAAAAACTAGACAGTAATAAGTTACTACTATCTGAAAATATTAACGATGACACCTACCTGGCCATTAGCTAATATTTTTTTCAGTTCAGCAGAAGACTTCTTTAAGCTGGAAAGGGAAAACATAATTTTTAATGGCAAGATCATCGACACCTTTGAACACCACTGAAAATTCCAGAGTGAAAACATATATACAGAGACTATACTCTTTACATCCTTCTCCTTGTAGAATATTTTTTCAAAAGTAACTGGCCAAATGGCAAAACTATTAGTAAAGTGACTGCAACCCTATTAGTAATTTAAAGTAATAAAGAGGCCTACAGTCAAAAATGAAGATAGAATATTGTAGACAACTTCCGTGACTTTTTTTGGCTTAGTTCTGCTGCCTTTGGGTAGCCTTTCAGTGGCTATTTTATGTGGACTCTTTATCTGCTAAATACAAAGTACATAATGATGTACTCTTAGAATGTTCACATCAAACAAAGGTTACAGAACTTCAAAAGATAAGATGATCTAAATCCTGACCTTTTATTATCATTAGAGTTAAAATTCACTTCCTGGGAAGCAAATGTGTAGTGGAAATAAATCCTGGAACTCACTAGCTGTGTGTTCTGGGACAGGTTACTTATTTATTCCCTCTGAACCTCAACTTCCAAAGTAACTCTTCTCCCTGTGTTAGTCATCTGTGTAGATAGATGTCATTTAACCTACCACACCTCCCCCAAAACTGAAAGATCCCCGAGAACACAGACCACATCTTACTCACCTATCTATGTATTCCATTCCCGTCACACCCTTGAACCTAGTCCAGTGACTTGGCATGTGTTTGATAAATAGTGATAATTATTCTGGCTATTATTATATGTTGGACACACACACTCACTATTCTAAGTAATAATCAGTCTTCTTTCTAAATACTTCTTAAACTTTTGCTATGGTCAAATGAAGACTATGAAGCTTTAGTCCCTACTTTCCCCTGATTTTATAAAGCCTGACTTCAACCAAGGGTTCTAAACTTTAACAATGTCCTCCCAAATCTAAGAATTCATGCACGAAAGCAGCAGTTAAGAATTTTGTAGAATGGAGCCAAAGCTGAAACATACATAAAAAAAATAAGTAACTGCCTAAAATCAGTCCAGTTAAAAAAAATTAAAAAATAGCAACTACCATTTACTAAGTGATGGCCACACACCAGGCACTGTGCTAAATGCTATTACGTATAATCCTGATTTAATCCTTGCAATAACTATACCCTTGTGCATTAGTTTAGGAAAACTGGCCTGTGGGGTATAGTTACTCCTAATTTATATTTAAAAAATTAAAGTATAGACCTTGCTCAAAGTCAGTCTCCCTTAACACATACTCATACTTTTTTCCCCCTGAAAAACATCTAGATCATTCTATTCCCATAGATGACTTCCAATTTAATAGCTACAATTTTTGTAAAAACAAATAACAAAAGAATGCTCAGGCAATGTTTCTCCACAGATATTCCATTTTATTACACAACTTGAAATAATAACATTCTGATTCACTGCATTTACAAAATACCTTTCATCTAAGAAATAAAACGTGATCCCTTAATACAACATCAATCTTCTAACACCAGAGGTAGATAGAAAGTCTAATCATTCTAATTTTATAGAAGGCAAAAACCAAGATGCTTGGGAAAGGCTTTGCCTTGGCAGTGGGACTTGAATTCCGTAATTATGGCCTAGGAACACCGTGTGGATTACTAAACTCAATTTAACAAACAGCCACTCATCTAAGGCAAAGACGGATTAATGCATTGAGAGTAACAGAGGAAAAAGCTGATTTCATTCATTATGCCAGTATCGCTATCAGCTTCGTCTGGTAAAAAATTATATCTATGTATTCTGAAATTTTCTTTGTGGCCCAGTTTACTCGATATTTTATTTATCTGTATGGTCACAGTGACTTAAAAATCACTTTTAAAGTCTTTTTAAAATTTAAATGTGATACAATTATAACCTAGTTATGACACTTTAAGAGGGACACTAAAGCATCCAAAGAAGAGTAAAAGGGTGAGAGGACTAGAAATAATGTCATAAAACCTGAATAAGCCTGGCCAGTGTGGCTCAGTGGTTGAGCACTGATCCATGACCAAGAAGTCACTCGTTAGATTCCGGGTCAGGGCACATCCCCAGTCGGGGGCGTGCAGGAGGCAGCCGATAGGTATTTCTTTCTCATCCATGCTTCTATTTCTTTCCCTCTCCCTTCCTCTCTCTCTCTCTGAGAAATCAGTTTTTTAAAAAAAGGCTTTAAAGAAAAGCTGAATGAGTTGGGAGAATTTAATTCAAAGAAAAGACTTAAAGGGAATCTAAATTAGTTCGTTCATTCATTCATTCAAGCATTACTTACTATCTCCTATATTCCAAGAATTATGCCAGGAATTGGGAATTCAACAATGAATAAGTTATAGTCACTGTCCTCAAAGAGTACAGAATTTACATGGGACAGAGGTGACTATAATACAACGTGCTAACTGCTATAGTAAGGCAAGCACAGGGGAATTATGGGAATTCATAGAAGGGGTACCTGGGATAGACCAGGGAATGGGTAATAATCAGGGATGGTTTTTAGAAGATAACAGGTGAGGAAGGGGATTAAAAGAGGAGCAAAGCAGAAAAGAGGCAGCAGATGTGAAAACCCCCAGTAGTGAGAGGAAACGTGATTCATTAAGGACACCATGCATTTACCAGCAGACCTGGAATGTCAGGTAAGAAGGGGCAAAGTGGCCGCCCTGGGGCCAGAAAGGGCAGAGGACCCACGTGTAAAAGGCCACTGCTCACCTGCTGTGAGGGTACACTTCTCTTTGAAGACTGTGAGAAGCAGTAAAAGGGAAGATAGGCTTAGAACTCACATCAGCAAGACAATTCTGAGCACAGTGTGCAGGAGGGACTTCAATGGGGCAAGACTGGAGGGAGGAAACTATTGGGAGGCTGTAGCAATCTAGACCCTGAACACCCTTTATAGCAACAGGGGTGCTGGCAAGTAGACAAGACTCCAGAATGATTTAGAGGTAGGGAATGACTGCATGTGGGGCTGAGGAAACCCCAGAGGCTGTGCAGGGTGACTAGCAGGTCATCTGGGGTAAGCAGCTGGGTAGATATGGGAGAATTCACTAAGATCGGAAATCTCAGAGAAGTATGTTTGGAGGGAAGGTGACTGGCAAAGTTACCACCTAGAAGAAAGAACAGCCCTGTTCTATGGCTAAACCAAATCTTTGAATGGGTAGTAAAGGGAGACAAATCTCAGTTCATGAAAAAGAGTGTTCTGAGATTCAGCTACATGAAAACGGAAGAGGCTGCCTTGGCGAATAAAGATCATTCCTGCCACAGAGATGTTCAGGAAGATTCTGGATGATCACCTGGTAAGCTGAAGTCAAGCATCTAAGGAGAATAGGCTTAGATTGGGGCTTCCCCTCTCATGCTCCACACCACAGGCAGAGTCTTTCATAAACACAGAGCTGGGCAAAGCACTCTCCTCCTGAAAGTCGTTTATATATTGAGAGGAAAATTCAAACACATGACCTTGCATGACCTGGCTCCTGTCTATCTCCTTTCCTCCCGTCACCTCTATTGCTCTTCTCCTCTCTCTCCATACCGCCCCTCAACTCACCACCCTACCCTGTGCACAGCCAAACTGGCCTACTTACAAATATGCTGAGTTCCTTTTCACACCAGGCCTTCGCGTGTGCTCTCCCCTCCCTCTGCAGTGCCCTTTCTCTGGCTCTTGATGTAGCTAGTCCTACTCATCCTTCTGGGAAATGTCACTCTTCCTCAGAGAGTCTTCCCCGAGCATGCAGTCTAAATCTAAACATATTCCTGCCTACTCTGCTCTCTCTTCAAAACTTATGTCCAAACTAATTATAAAGTATAGTTATTTGTATTTTTGGATGGGGGGGGGGTAGGAGGGGGTCTGTGTGCTTACAAGATAGCAAGTCCCAAAGGACAAGGACCATATTGTATTCCTAACGCATAGGACAGCACCTAATGAATTGAAGACACTCAATAAAATTGTTGATTAATTATCAACATGAGGCACAGAACAAGGCCATGCCAGGGTGGCATATTAAAATCACCTGCAGGACTTGTTCAAGTTGCATTCCTCCCATAATAGAAATCACTACTGGAGCAAACTGTCACGATTTGGAAGGCTGTCATACCCTAAGGCAGTGGTCAACAAACGCATTAGTCAACAGAGCCAAATAGCAACAGCACGACGACTGAAATTTCTTTTGAGAGCCAAATTTTTTAAACTTAAACTGTATAGGTAGGTACAATGTTATTAACTTAATTAGGGTACTCCTAAGGCTTAGGAAGAGCCACGCTCAAGGGGCCAAAGAGCCGGATGTGGCTCGCGAGCCACAGTTTGCTGACCACGGCCCTAAGGGAAGATGCTGCAACCAAAGGCTGAGAACCAGTAGATCGGACACTCTTTGTCCAACCCAAAGATTTTATAATACTGAGTATAAATGATACTTTTTAAAAACCAAGCTAATTCACTCATGTTAAAACCAAACCTGAGAGAACTGAAAATTTATTCTGCTTCTTCTCTGTTTTGCCATCTTTTTCAACTCTATCCTCTTTTATAAAATGATAAAATTTGACCTAAAACACCAGGGAAAGTCTTGGTTTTTTTTCAAGGCTCATGGTCAGTCTGTGTAAATACCTTCTCTGCAAGTAGTGGTAGTAATTAAATGCCCTGACCTCTACGAGTTGAGTGTAATGAGTGGCCCTCAGTCCCCATGCCTCCACTTGGTTGGACCATTGGTCACATGCCCAACAAGTAGGAAGAGAGAAGCTACAAAGCATTGCCTGGCAAGGTCAAGCCACCGGATGAGAACTAAAAAATCTACCCCATGGTCACAAGACAGATGACTCACTGGTGAATAACCAGGCTGTATTTTAAGACAGAATGAATTGCTTGAGAAGGAACCATACTTTAAGAGTAGCATGTTTGAGGAAGAAAAGTTGGTGGGTAGATATAATGACACTACAATCAAGGAAGTGACTTTGGGGAGGGGACAGGAGTAAAGATAGAGTCAGAGCAGAGACTTTAAATTACCTACAGTGAAGTCCCCTGGCAAAAACAAAAACCAAGACTCAGGGTTAAGAGGGGAAGGAGAGGTATGGAAGGGAAAGTAGAAGCCTAAACTACATCTCAGCTGATAAAGGGCTGTGCAAATACTGGCTACAGCCTTAAACGCAGAAAAACCTGGCATAGAATGAAAGGGGTTTTTTGGTTTCATGTTGGTTTGTCAGTCACTGATGTGAATACATAGACACAGAGCAATCACCTTCTCTGGGCCATCTTCAAATACAGGCATATCTCATTTTATTGTACTTTGCCTTATTTACTTTGCAGGCACTATGTTTTTTATAGAGTGAGGGTTTGCAGCAACCCTGCACCGAGCAAATCTATAGTGCCATTTTTCTAATAGCATTTACTCACTTTGTGTCTGAGTCACATTTTAGTAATTCTTGCAATATTTTAGTAATTCTTGCAATATTTCAAACTTTTTCATTATTTGTTATGGTGATCTGTGATCAGTAATCTTTGATATCACTATTGTCATTGTTTGGGGAGCCATAAACTGCATCTATATAATATAGCAAACTTAATAAATGTGTGTGCTCTGACTGCTCCACTGACTGGCCATTCCCTATGTATGTGTCTCTCTCCTCCAGGCTCCCCATTCTCTTACACACAACAATATTGAAATCAGACAAATTAATAACCCTATAGTGGCCTCTGCGTGTTCAGGAGATAGCTACAGAGGAGAAGTCAATGAAAACTTCAAAGCTTCAAAGGACAGGCTGACTCTCTTGTTAGGAAATAATGTAGCTGGTGAGTAAGTTGAAGCCAGTGCTCATTTACCATTCTGAAAATCCTGGGGCCCTTAAGAATTACGCTAAATCTACTCTGCCTGTACTCCATAAATGGACCATCAAAGCCTGGATAACAGCATGTCTGTTTACAACATGGTTTACTGAATATTTTAAGCCTACTAAAATTGAAACCTACTGTGCAAAAAAACAACAACAAAAACTTTCCCTATATTACTGCTCACTGACAATGTGCCCTATCACCCAAGAGCTCTGATAAAGATGTACAACGAGATTAATATTGTATTCATGCCTGCTAACACAACATCCATTCTGCAGCCCATGGACCAAAGAATAATCATGACTTTTAACTCTTATTCAAGAAATAAATTTTGTAAGGCTGCCATAGATAGTGATTCCTCTGATGGATCTGGACAAAGTACATTGAAAACCTTCTGAAAATAAGTCATCATTCTAGATGTCATTAAGAACATTCATGATACATGGGAAGAGGCCAAATAGTAAGAGTTTAGAAGAAGTTGAATCCAATCTTCATGGGTGACTTTTAGGGGTTCAAGACTTCACTGGGGGAAGTAACTGCAGATGTAGTGGAAATAGCAAGAGAACTAGAATTTAAAGTGGAGCCTAAAGATGTGAATGAATTGCTGCAATTTCATGATAAAGCTTAAACAAATGAGGAGTTGTTCCTTATGGATGTAGTTTTTTGAGATGGAATCTACTCCTGGTAAAGATGATGTGAAGATTGTTGAAATAACAAAAGAGGTTTAGAATATTACATAATGTTAGTTGATAAAACAGCTGGCAGAGTTGGAGAGAACTGACTCCAATTTTGAAAGAAGTTCTACTGTCGGTAAAATGCTATCAAACAGTGTCACATGCTACAGAGAAATCATTTGTGAAAGGAAGAGTCAGTTGATGTGGCAAAATTCACTGCTGCCTTATTTCAAGAAGTTGCCACAGCCACCCAACCTTCAGCAACCACCACTCTGATCGGTCAGCAGCTGTTAGCATCAAGGTAAGAACCACCACCAGCAAAATTAGGACTTGCTGCAGGTTCAGATGATGTTACCTCTTTGTAGCAACAAAGTATTTTTTAATTAAGGTACGTATATTTTTTAGCCATAATGCTACTATACACTCAATAGACTAGTGTAGTGTAAACATAACTTTTATATGCACCAGGAAACCAAAATATTCGTGTGAGTTGGTTCATTGTATTATTTCCTTTATTGTGGTGGTCTAGAATGGAACCCACAGTATCTCTGATGTATGCATGTACAAGAATATGTTTACTAGCTAAATAACTGAATGTACTAGTATAACAAAGATGACCTAAAATTCTATCAACTTAAGCAGGTCACTCTTTCTACTTGAGCACCATGACAGTCTGGGAGTTCTCAAGCCTGTCAGAAAAACACTTTGAAAGGCTCAAGTCTCTAGTATCCATCACAGTGTGGGGCAATGTTAGCATGAGTTGATGAAAATTATCTTCCTTCCAAAATAGCTTCAATCTCCTGTGCAACCAAAGATACAAAAATGAGCAATGTGGCTGGTCAAATTAAATTTTACCACTTTGCTCTTTCCTTGTCTCTTTCTGGTTAAGATGTTAATAGGTAATGATACTGCTGAAAGATGGACAAGCAAGAAAAAAAAGCATTAATTTGTAAACCAGATCATCAAGGCATGAAATAGTCAAAGGCACTGAATTTTCTGTATGATTTGGTAATTGAAGGAAAACCATTCCATAGACCAAAATTAAAGTTTAACATGTTGAATTTCATCTTTC